CAAAGACATTCAAGAAGCAAATGTCATGTCATGCATCCCGTAACCAAATACCAGAAAATGGACTGGGAGACTCTCAAGTATTACAAGTATAATATTGAATAGTTTGGTTTTCAAGTCTTCAAAAACAGCAATACCTACCATATGAAACAGAAGTAAACATGAAAGCTGCATATTAGCTGCTACCTGTGTAGAAAATCTGTTCAGGCTTTAGTATTTATTTCTTAGGAAGAAACAGAAGAACTATTCGGCACGGGAAACAGTCTACAGCTGTGCTGTAGAAGTCAAGTATAACTGATAAACGAACATCAACTTAGCAACAAGACTAAAAGCATAATCTTTCCCAGTGTTTTTCTACTTTTCTCCAGCTAAAACTGCATCTCAGCAGAACAACATCCTTCTAAATGAAAGAAAGGTGTAGCCACTCTAACAACCAACTCTAATTCATTGCCTGATTAAAATTCCTTCGAAAATCAGCACTCTCTGGTTGCTTTCAGAGGAGGATCGTGCAGTTCTGCAGATTATCCCTGCATCTGTTACATGACCTTGATAAGTATAATTGGAAAATATTTGTGCTCTTGTTGCATGCCATCACTGGGGCAGGATTATTTGTAAACACCATTACAAATATTTCCTATTCCTGCAAGTTGTTTTCCTCTGTGAGATTCTTTGAAGTATCACAAACTGACACCCCTGATTTCATGCCAAATGGCTTAAATTGGCAGGTAGAACAATAAGGGTACCACTGAATCTATAGACACCTCCCCTTCATCTACAAAATGCCATGCTCTTAACTGTTGTCACTGTTTGCAAGCTCCTCCTTGGGTTCTACGTTCCCATAGAGAAGCTAGAAACCACTGCTAGACTTGGTAACGTTGCTTGGTATAAGAGAAAAAAAAGTTGCCTGGTGTATATATTCAAAAGACAGAAGGATGTAGGGGAGGGCGCAACCCTACATAGAAAAATTAGTGACAAAGATATTGATTAAGTGGGGAAATGGGGAGGAGTTGTGTGCATGGCAGAGATGGTTAATTTTCATTTAGAGAGAGGAAAGTTGGGTTCAAACAAGGAGATGTGTTTTGGAGTTCAAATAACACCTTTATCTTGCATTTAGGTTTAATTTGCATTTTAGGCTCTTTAGCTTGCCCTTCTATGGAGTGGTCTTTTATGACTAGCCAGACTCCTCACAGCCATGATTTTGACAACAGTCCCCCCCTCTTCCCACCACACACATATACACCATATCTATTTTGTTATGATCCTATGACATTTTTTAAAAACTCAACATGTAGGTCACATGGCTAATACATTTGAGGACCATGATCAAAATGGATACTACTAGTATCTCTATGACTTGTGGAAATATGATATTGGAAAGTAGCTAAATTTATTTGAATATGTCCGCCATGACTTTCCCATCATACACCCAAAAGGATGATACTTACTATACCAATAGAATCTTGCCATTCCCTCCCACTTCACAGCTTGAGCTAACATGTCTTCTGGCATGGTTGGCAGAAAAGCATGCTAGTAAAAGGGAGAAATGGAAAAAGAGGATCAAGGTGGCAATAGATAATACACAGTGGTAGATTTCTTTATGACTGACCTGTCTGCTGCGAACTTATTTTCTCATATAATTAAAAAGAAGGAAACACTGAGAAATATCTCTAAATTGCAAAGGTATAAACAGAAGGAGAAACTAGCAAACAAGCTAGTTTGCCCAGCATTACCTCTGAAGAACATCTGAAAGCTTTAACTGCTGTGCTATGCAGTGCTTACTTTATTAACCAGTAAGTGATCCTGCAATTCCATGATGCCTATACCAGTTGTTTCCTGGGCATAATTTAAGCTGTTAGTGTTTATATTTAATACTTTAGATGGCCTACAGTGTGGTTATCTGAAGGACAGCCTCTCCCATGATGGATGCATCCAGTTGTTAAAACATGCAAGAGACCACTCCCAAGTTATGGAGTATTTGATACCCACTTTCTCTACCTTTAGAACTGCTTTCTCTAGGCCTTTATTTCTCATTTGTTAATTTCATCAGTTTGTTTCTGTATTTTTTAAAAATCTGTATTACATATTTTAGTAGTTGTTAACCTTCTTGAATATTCAAGTTAACGGAGAGGCAGGATACAAATCAAATCATTTTTTAAAATAAGTTAAAGAACTAACTGAAGTCTACAGGAAAGTCCAGCATGAACTTCCTTACCTGCATGGTATTGGGTGAGAATGCCAGATTCCTTAGAGGTTCAAGGATTCGATTCTGGCCAGAAAGCAGAACAACTGCAGTATGAACTGCCATTTCAGTCACCATCATGTCGTGATTGAAAGACAGAAGAGGCAGGGTCAGTAAGGGGAGCTGATTAAACAGAAGAGATTCAGCAAATGACTTCAGTTTTTCAGATGGAAGAACTGTGGAGTTCTGGATGAATTCTTTAAGTACATCACATTGCTGAAAATAAAAAAATATTTTACAAAAGGTAAAATAAGATTTTCCCATAGGCTCAAAAGGCTTACATAATGGCATAACAATGATTATTTATTATTTATTTACTCATTTATTCAACATTATTATACTTTATTATCACCAGTTGTACTCTGCCTACTTGAGTGATTCTAGGAAACTTACAATATACCAATACCAAGAGTTCTCTGAATAGTGTATGAATCCACTAACATAAAACACAAAAAGCAGTACAGAAAACATCACAACAGGTGTACGGAAATCTTATTTGGTGTATAGGTACACTCTTGTCACAAATATTTCAAATGGAAACAGCTGAAAGAAACCACAACCCATTCAGGATGTGCAAAATGTTTGACTATGAAATGTTCTGAGCTCAGAACTGCTGTTTTGAGTGTTCTGAGTAGAAAACAAGGTTAGAGGTTCAAGGATTCGATTCTGGCCAGAAAGCAGAACAACTGCAGTATGAACTGCCATTTCAGTCACCATCATGTCGTGATTGAAAGACAGAAGAGGCAGGGTCAGTAAGGGGAGCTGATTAAACAGAAGAGTAACACTTTCTGTTTCATGCACAAGCAACCTGTACTTAATCCGCCCCAGTCACTTCTATGATCAGCAGGACCTTTCCCTCTAACGTAGCACTCGTTTGTGGATCACGATCAAAGCTAATTTACCTTCTGCTTAGGATGCATATTTGGATCTTTGCATCCATACAGGGATGTGAGCTCTCTGAAGACAGCCAAGAGAAAATGACCTGCCAGTGCAGATCTGGAGCCTTTATATGCCTGAAGAGAAAGATACAAATAACCAAACCCATTAAAAGTAAGAAACAAATTAATCAGGAGCAGAGCTTCCATCTTTGGCTGATAGTGGAATGATTAAGAGCACAGAATAAAACTTAAAGTCATAACGAGACAGCCTTATTACACCAAACTCCAAAGAGGTGTTAAATCGCAGTTGTTGAAATGTTCTTAGATCGATCTATATGCGGCCGGACCAAGCTGTTTTTGTAAAAGGTTTCTCACCAAATATGTAAAGGCTAACCAGGCAATGGAAATGGCATAGATTTGCACAAAATCTCTGTTCCAAGGTGGCAGTCAAATTTATTCCACCAACTAGTACAAGTATGCTGGACTATATTATTTTTTGTCATTTTCAGCTTCTCCTTGTAAGTGGACCTATCTCCCACACAAATAAAAAACAATATACAAAGCACACTGCAAAAAGACCCAGGAAAGAAAATAAAGCACCAGTACCAGGTTAATTAGAGTCAATGATCCTAATAAGACCAAAGTGGATTAAAGCTCAGATCCTATGTGCATCTTTCTTACTCCCCGTGTGTTTCCCCCCAGATTCTATTAATTAAAGCTGTTATTGACAAGTCAGCATACTGCAATGAAAAGTGCCAGCTTGAGCTTCAATTTTATGTACAGGAATGCCTCTGGGTCCCAGAAAATAA